TTTAAAAAAAAAAAAAAAAAAAAAAAAAAAAAAAAAAAAAAACATATATTCTAACAACAATAAAATACAAAAATTATTAAAAAAAAATAAAATATATATACATTGTTTTTTATATTAATAAAAATATTATATATATGTCTACATATATATATACATATATATATATATATATTTATATATAATCATATATTTTGAAAATAAAAAAATTATGAAATATTTTTTTTTTTTTTTTTATTTTAAACATATATATATTAATTAGATGAAATCTGTAGCCATATGAATTTAGAATTACAAAATATAAAAATAATAGATAAAAAAACAAATTTGAATAATAAATTATATATTCTTGATAAATAATTGAATATATATATCTATATAATTTTTTGGTTTCATTAAACATAAGAAAAATTTAGAGTCATTAAAAAAAAAAAAAAAAAAGAAAAAAAAAAAAAAATAGAATTTTTTTTTTTTTTTTTTTTCACATATAGTAGATAATTTGTAATCAAAAATATATATATAAAAAAAAATTATTTTCGTTTATAATAAAATATTTTTAGTAAAAACATTCCTTATTTTAAATTAATATTATTTTGCATTTATTATTTTGTATGTTGCTATTTTATGTGGTTTTGTTAATGTTATCATTATTTTTACTAAATAAAATACTAGAGAGTTTAGAAGATAAAATATGATTATTCAATAAATTTACGAAATTATTATTTTTATTTGAAATTTTTTGACAATTTTCTTTTTGATTTATACAACTATTTTTATTAGATGTATGATATAAAACACTATTGCGCATATATTCTTTAATATTTAATATTTTATTTAAATAAAATGGTTGCTTAATATTGACAATTGTATTATTCTTCCTATCGTTTCCATTTTGTAATAAATTTGATTTACTTTCTATATTATCTTCATTATTTTTATTATTATATTTTTTATTTATATCTATTTTATTAATATCATTTTTATTTTGTGAATGGTAATATATATTATCGTTTTTTTTATTTTCCTTTTTAATCTGTAAATTATTAATTAATCTTACACTTTTTGATAATAAATCTTCATTTTTTTTATCTATATAAAGCGGTTTATTTTTATATAATAAATCATTATTGTAAGTATTAATATTTTCTGTTTTAATTTCATTCTTTTTTATATTAATCATTTCATTATATTTATTTTTAATATGAACTTCTTTATTTTCATCTTCATTGATATTCCTTTTTACATTTTCACATACGTTTATTTTGTTATTTAAATCAACGACAATTTGTTTTTTTCTATTTTGGCTGATTTTTATATTTTTTTTTTCTTGAAATCCTGTAAAAAAGTTATTTTTACTAGATTCAACTTGATTATTCATATAAGGAATTTTATTTAAATTTAAGGATAATCTTGTGGGATTTAAATTTATTGTATTATTTATGTAATTATTATATTTTTTATTTTCTTCATTAAAAATATGCTGTATATTTGTTTGTTTCTGATTTTCAGATACAATATCATTTTTTGTTTCTTTAAAATTCATGCAACTATTAACTTTATTTATAGTACTTTGTGAATATGGTAAATCTTCTTTTTTTAAGCTTTTATATAATAGAGGTTTTACCTTTGCATTATTTGTATTAGATTTTAGATAAATATTATTAGAATGGATATCTTTAGAATTTTTCTCCAATATAATTTCATTGTTTTTGGATATACTGTTTGTCTTATTGTTTATTTGAAATTGTTCATTTGAGGTATCATTATTTTGTAATTTATTTTTTAAATATTGATGAATATGTTTGTTATTAATATCTTTAACACAAGATACATTTTTATTGATTAAATTAAAATATGATTTATCTATTTTAACTGATTTAGAAGTTTTTCTATTTTTATTGAAAATAAAATTTTCTACATTTAAATTAATTCCATTCCTTAAATATAGTTCACTATTTCTATTATAAATATTATTGTTAATTCTACCATTATTATTATTATTATTATGATTTTTTTTTTCTTCTATTTTTATTAAATAATTATTTATACTATTATTTTTATTATCTTTATTTTCATATATATCATTGGTATTGTAATTTTTTAAATTGCTAATATTTAAAGGAGTCAAATTTTCTGAATATTCTCTTGTCTTAATTTTGTGCTGTAATTTTCCTGTATCAGATATTTTGTTAATTATATTTCCTAATTTGTTATAGTTTGTTTTATCATTTAATAAAAATAAATTAGGTTTCACTAATAATTTATCATTTTCATTATTATTTTTCATAAAATTTGTTTGCATATTATTTAAAAATATTTTATTATTTTCTATTTTATTATAATTTAAAAAGCTTTTCAATTTAGATAATTTATTTTGATTTGATACTTTTAATTTATTTAAATATAAATTTTTTTTTAAGTTATTATTAAAACTTTTTAATTCTTTTAAATGATTATAATATGGATTTTCACTAGAATTATTAGTGTTTACATAATTAAAATTAATTTTATCATTTTTAAAGTAAGTTGACATATTATTTTTATTTAATTCTGTTGAAGAAATATTAAAAGTGTTTCGTCCTTTAATAATTTTATTTTTTTCTTTAACAGAAAGATATTCATACAAAGAGTTGTTTATTTCAACCTTTGATTGAGATAGTAATTTTATATGTTTACTTTTATTTTTAACTTTTAAATCATCACTATCATTATAAACTTTATAATCTCCTTGCAAATTTTTTTTGTTTGCATAAAAGTTATAATTACCATTAGAAATGATATTACTAATGCTATTTTTTTTATTTTTGTTGATTTCGTTATTCTGGGTATTATTCTCTTTGTCATTTTTATTAACTTCATCATTTTTGATACTACATATTTCATAGTTTTTATTGTTATTTACAATATTATTTTCATTATTTTTGTAATAAATATTATTATTATTATTATCATTTTTATTAATTTCATTCCTTTCAATATGATCACCACTATGTCCATTAATAGAATTATTGAAATGATTTAAAAAGTTTTCTTTTTTACTTGTAGTCTCATTTAAAAAATCAGAGAAATTTTCTAAATTATTTTTTTCATTGATAGCATCTTTATCTATTTCAACGGTATTTTTCAAAAAAAAATTTTTTTCCTCAAAATTAGAAGAGGCATTTTCTTCTTTTTTTTTATTAAAATTGTTATTTTTTTTTTCATTTTCATTAATAATTTCTTCCTTTGTTTTATTATAGTCTGAATTTATTCTCTTTTCTGTATTATTTATTCTATTCTTTATATCCTTTTTAAAATAAGTTGTATATGTTTTTCTTTTTTTTAAATCATTAAAATTTTTATCAAATAATTCTAAATTACTTTTCTTGTTTTCTATTTTGGTTTGAAGTAAATTAGATGTTTCTCCCAATGAAATATTCTTTTTTATTTTATCTTCTTTATTTTTTATACCATTTTTAAGTAAAGAACTTTTGGATTTATTGTTTTCATTTTTTTTTAGGTATATTTGATTTAACATTTGAGTAGTTCTATTAATTTTACCTTTTTTATTTGATGAGTTTTTAATATTCATTGAAGTATCAGTTTTTCTCAAATGAGAAATTTCTATTATTTTTTGAATTTCTATAATTTTGTTATTTTCTTTTTTATTTTTTATATCTTTATTATCGTTTATAGGGTTCAATTTCTTTTCTTTATTCTTCTTTTCAAAAATTTCATTCATTTCATTCAAAAAATTTTCTAATATCGATTTATTACTCAAGTTTAATTTATTATCATTTTTTGTTTTTTCATCTATTACTTTTTTTATATTTTTAATTTTATGTGTTGATTCATAATGAACATTAGAATTTCTCTTTATTAACAGAGGATCTTTTTTCGTAGCATTATTAGGTGTAATATTTGGGTAAACTATTGTTTGCCTGTTTTTTATAGGTTTTAATAAAACTTTTGAGGTTTTGTAATTTGCTTTATTTGATTGAATACCTTTTTTTGTATATTTTGAAAAATCCCACTTATCAGAATACTTTAAATTATTTTCTTTAATATTATTCATTTCATTTATATTATTCCTACTTTCAAAATTGAGAATTTTTTTTTCATGAAAAGTCTCATTTTTATTTTTATTATTCATTATTATATCGCAATCGTAACTACTTATATCATTAAATTCATTTACATTAACATTTTTTCCATCATTCATCTTATTAGTATTATCATTTAAATTAATAGTAATTTTATTTTTAATGTTTTCATTATTATTTTTGTCTAAATCTTCTCTAGTTAATTTATTATCTCCATTCACTGAATATCTATTTTTTGAACTTTTTAACTTTTCAAAATTTGACTCTTTAATTTCTTCAAGAGGAAAATCTAATAATTCATTAGAAATTTTAGCTTGTTGTATTTCTATAATTCTTTTTCTTTTTTTTATAGACTTAAGATTTATATCAACGTTAAAGTTTTTTTTACATATTTGTTCAATATTTTTTTTATTTGATATATTTTTATTATTTTCTAAATTTAGTTTTTCCTTACAATTTGATGTCTTCTCTTCAACAAGAATTTTGTTAATAACACTTTTATTTTTTTTAATTTTCAAATTTACGTTTTTTAAGTTAGTTTTGTTTGATATATTTAAAATGCTTCTTCTATTTTTTGTATTATCTTTTAATATATTATCTTTCAAAAATCCCTTTTTATTATAATTTTCTTTGATTAAATGAATACTAGGATTTTGTGGTATTTTTAAATCTTTTATTTTACTAATATCTCCTTTTTTTATAAGATGTGAAACTCCAACAGTATTTCTAAAATTATGTATTAAAGACATCTTATCTCCTTTTATGTTATCTATAATTTTATTTGTTCTATTAATTGATTCTAATTCATTTGTAATATTATTGTTTTTTTTATTTATACATATTAATGGCGATTCAGATATAGTATGACGTCCTAAAATGTTTTTTTTATTAATTTCATTTGTTTGTAATTTGATTTTTTGGTAACTTTTCTTATTTTTGTATTCATTAATAATAATAGGCATTTCGTTAACATTATTTTCATTTCTTTTATTATAATTATCTGATTCTAATTTATTTAAATTAATAAGAGAAGAATAGTTTTTTTTTGGAATGACTTTGGTAGAAATGTTTTCATAATTATCATTCTTCAAATTGTTATTATAGATATACTTTTTGGTATTGAAAAGGAATTTGTCAGATGTTACAATTTTATTTTTTCTATCTGAATTAAAGGAATAGTTTCCTCTTTTAGTTTTATTAATAGATTTTGCTTTTATTTGTATTTTGGATGATAAATTTCTTTTCTTTTCATTACTCATAGTACATAATTTATTTCTTGATTTACTGAAGAAAAAATCATCATCATTTATCATATTTAACTTTTTTTTATCTATATACAGTTTTTCTTTATGTATTAACATTTTATCATATTTATCAGAAATGGAATTTTTAAATGAGAAACCTAATCCATTTTTCATTACATTTAATGAGTCATTTTGTAACTCATCCTTTGGTTTTTTTTTTAATTCATTTTCTAATATTTTTTTATGTTCGTCTTTTAATTTATTTTCAAGTGTCTCTTTTGATTCAGTTTCCTGTTGATTATAACTATTTTCTATTTCATCAATTAATTTATCATTTAATTCATTTATTAGATTATTTAATTCTCCATTAAAATCAGTTTCTGATTCACATTCTAAGTTATTTTCTTCATTTTTTATTACATTTTCTAATTCATTTTCTAATTCATTTTCAAATTCAAATTCTAATTCATTTTCTAATTCAAAATCTAAATAATCTTTTGATTTAATTTCTTCATATTCTAAATTATCTTTTGATTTAATTTCTTCATATTCTAAATTATCTTTTGATTTAATTTCTTCATATTCTAAATCATCATTTGATTTAATTTCTTCATTTTCTAAATTATCTTTTGATTTAATTTCTTCATATTCTAAATCATCATTTGATTTAATTTCTTCATTTTCTAAATTATCTTTTGATTTATATCTAGAATTTTCTAATTTACTATGGGAATTTTTACTTAATTTTTTTTCTTTTAACTCAACTTGAGATTTTTTTTTTGATTCAATTATCATATTTTTTGAAGTATCTAAAAATTTGTTTTTTAATATATGTTCTATAGAACTTTTTTTTGTACATGAATTAGTCTCAACTTCTCCTAACAAATCTATATCATCTTTAGTTATTATATAAGAATTTTTTTCATCAATAAGACTGTCTGAATTCTTTAAATCCATATTTTTATTTTTAATCTTTAATTCTTGAAAAAATAGTTTATTATCTTCTTTTTCTTTTTTTTTTTCTTCTAAAATAATTGATTCTTTACATGAATTTATTTTGTTATTTATTAACATGGAATGCTTGAATTTGTTTTTTGTTTCTAGATAATGTAAGCTATAATTATTTAAATCATCATTTTTTGAAATTTTATTCTCTTCTTTTTTGTTATCAACTTTTTCAGATAATGTATTATGAAGAATTATGTTATCTATAGGATTTTTATTATGTAACATGAGATTATTAATTTTTGATTTTTTTTTTTCATTTAATTCATTTTCTTTTCCTTCATATAATACCTCATTATATATTTCCCTATTGTTTTGTTTAAAAGAGATATTTAAATTATCATTTTTAGTTATTTTTTCTAAATAATTATTATTTTCATAGTTAAATGTTTCTATTTCCTTTATATTGTTAGTATCAAAAATATTGTTATGTGTTTCTTCCTTTGAATTCTTATCGTTAGGAGATGAAATAATTTTACTACTTAATATATTTTTAATATATTTTTCTCCATTTAAAAGGAAACTGAAATATTTCGTATCTTTTTTTTTTTGGTTATTAAAAATATTGTCATTTAACAATTTGGATAATTTATTTTCTTTTACTATGTTTTTACTAGTGTCATTCATTTGTACAAATTTCTTTTTGTGTAATTCAAAAGGATCATACTTTATGATTTCATTTTGAATATTTGATAAAATATTATTTTTGTCATTATTTTTAGCATGACTAACACTTTTAATATATGTGTTATCTTCTGTTTCACTGTTATTTATTTCATCTCTATATGAAGTATTATCAAAATTATTATTCTTTTTTGTATTTTTATAATTATGTATTATATTATATTTTTGATTTTCTTCAAATAATTCATTCTTTTTTTTTACCATATTTCTTTTATTTAAAAAAATTTCCTGATTAGTATCTTTTGAAGGATTTTTTTTTGTTTCTTTAAGTTCATTTAACAATGTGTACTTATTTGTATTATATTTATCGTTATATTTAGTGTTGTCGTAATTGTTTGTTGTGTTTATATTTTCCTTAAAATGTTGTTTTACTAATGATATAATATTTTTCTCACTTTTCACATTTTTATTTAATTGGTTTTTTCTTTTTAATTGATTTTCTAAAAGTAAGCTTAAAGTGGTATTTTCATAATTTTTTCTTGGTGTAATAAATATATTTCTTTTTTTTCTAGTTAAAATATTTTCTTCTGATTTTTGTGAAATTCTTACACTTTCTTTATTACAACTACAATTTTTGTTTGAAAAATTGATACTTTTTGAAGAAGAAAACAGCTTTTTTTTTTTTTTTTTTAATTCAATTAATTTATATATATTTTTTTTGTGATTGTTTAAAATTTTAATTTTTGACGTTTGATTAAGATCCATGTTGTTTTTATATAATTTTTTATAATGAATGTCATTATTATTAATATGAACAACATAATCATCATTATTATTGTCACTGTTATTTGTGATGAAATCATTGTTTATATGATTATTAATATAAAGGGTATCTTCGCTCTTGTTGGTTGTGATCATAGAACATCTATTATTATTAATACTAATTACAGTAGTTTTATTACTTCTATTATTATTATTATTAGAAGTTAAAATGCTTTCAGAATTATTATCTTCACCATTTTCCCTTTTATTATTAATATGTGAATATTTTAAAGAATTGATGTATTTGTTTTGTTTTTCCATATTTTTATTAGGTGATATAAAAATATGTTCATATATAAAAAATTGAATAGTAGAATTTTCGTCAATTTTCATATTATTTTTTTTTGCATATTCTTGAATTTCTAATGATAATTTGAACAAATCACTACTATTATATTTATAAGACATGTCATCATTTAAATACAAATTAAAATTATATATAGGAAAAAATTTTCCTTTAAACCATGAGTGATTTAAAGCTTCATTAATATTATATCTTTTTTTAAAATTTGGTTCTAAACAATGAAATATAAGATCGAGAACTTCTTCAGAGAGATGTAATCCTTTTTTATCTTTTAATAATTCTTCATATTTTTTATTTTTTAATAAATTCCAGTAAATATCTTTATTTAAAGCACATCTAAATAATTCATGCTTAGTTAAACAAAAATATAAAATATAACCAGCACAAAAAATATCAACTTTTGTAGGATCATATTTGCATTTTTCATATATTTCAGGTGGTCTGAAAATTTTACCAAAAATTTTTTTATATTCTTCTAATATAACTTCATTTTTATTATTAACATTGAAATATATTGCCTGACCAGGATCATTTAAAACTGGATATATTAAACCATTTTTTTCATTTTCAAATAAAAGTACATTCTCCAAAGATATATCTCTTAAAGCCATTTTTTTTGAATGAAGAAACTTAATTGCTAATAATATTTGATAAAATAAGTATCTTCCTTCTTCTTCTGAAAAAGCTCTATTTCTATTTTTCATAACTTCAAATAAATCTCCATGTAAAGCAAAAGGCATAACCATATATATATAGCTATTATCATCAAAAATATGATCACAACTTAATATATTACTATGACCACTCATAGTATCCCTATAATAATACTCAGATAACGGATCTTCTTGGACTTTATCTTTTGTCATTTCAATAAGATGCTTTGATAATATTTTTATAGCTTTCTGACAATTAACTAAATTTTTATCTGAATCTTCAATTACTTCAGATAAGTATACACTACCATAAATAGCTGATTGAAGAAGATTTACTAACTTATATTTTGATTGCTTATATTGAATTATTTTTCCAGCTAATTTGTAAGATAAAGATGAAAACTATCAAAAAAAAAAAAAAAAAAAAAAAATTAAGATAAATTCAATAATTGCTCATTATCATTAAAAATATAATTATTTATAAAAAAAAAAAGATATTCATATATATATATATATATTTGTTTATGCATATTACATATTTCATTTTCTCCTCTCTTGGAAAATTTTCAAAATATTCGTCATTTTTTTCAGTAGTATGCTTATATTGATAATAAATTTTTTTTTGATTTTTAGACATAATCCCCCCTGGATTAATATCAAAATAAATGGAATAATTCTTATTATCTAACTCATTATTATTTTTTATTTTTAATTTTAATTTTAATGAGACGCAAATATCATTTATATCACACATTTTATTTAAATTAGACGAATTTATATCACACAATTCGTTTAAATATGATAAATTCAAGGTTTCTCTATCCATTTCACATTTTTTCTTATATATATTATGTATATTTTGTATTAAATCATTATCAATATTTATACAATTATAAAATTTATCTGAATTTTTTTTTAATATTTTATTAAACTTTGTTTTTATTTGCATAATTGTATTTTTTTGTTCTATAAATCAATCAACGTGCTATGTTTTTTCATTTTTTTAAATTTCTATAATATGGAAATTTATAGAAATTACTATTTTAAAAAATTATTTCAATTTTTCTATTAATGCCCTTATATATATATTACATATACTTCTTTATATGTATATATATATATATGTATATATTTTTTTTTTTTTTTTAAATGGAATTCAAACAATATAAGAAATAAATACACAAATAAACAAATTATATATAGTAAGAGATCATATGTGTGTATAATGTGCGTATTAAATCAAACATTTAGAAATTTTTATATTCATAAAATCTACAGAGTTATAATTTTCTTTCATTCCATATACACATATATATATATATATATATATATTTTTTTTTAAAAAAAAAAAAAAAAAAAAAAAAAAAAAATTGTAGGACTTATTTTTATTGCATTATTTTATTATACCTCACTCATTAGAGTATTTATTTTATAGAAGAAAATGAAATAAAATTCGTAATTATCCACATAGTTATTTTTAATTCAATATTTTAAAAGGTTATATCTAAAATTTTTTTTTTTTTTTTAATTTTTTCTAGGTTGTAAATATTTTATTTTATTTTTTTTTTTTGTAGATTTAGAAAACAAATTAGTTTTTTCTAAATCTCTTCTTTACTTTTTATTTGCTTCTAATTTTATTTGATACACACGTTCTATAACAATGATAGAATTTTGATTTTTAGAAAACGATGTTATCTATATTTTACCTTATATAAATAGAACGAATCTTTTTATCTTCTTTTGATAATTTCAAAATTATAAATTTATAAATTATTAGATATAAACTAAATTATTTTAAAATCCTTTTTTATGAATTTTTTTTTTCTTTTACATTTGAGATTGTTCCTTTAAATAATGTGTGCAATTGTGCATGTCTTTATGTATTAATTTATAAAATTAATCAAAAAAAAAAAAAAATTATTTCTGTTAAAAATAGTAAGTAAAAATATTAATTTAATTATATTATTTATTTTAAAAGAATGAATTAAAGTAAATTACTAAATATTTTAAATATATGGAAATTTTCTTATAAAAATGTTAGAAAATTTAACGATGTTGCTATATTTTTTCTTTTTATGTTATGAATACATCTTTTATTTATTATTTTTATTTTATTAATTTTATATAAAAAGTTACGTAAATATGCCTTGCATTTTTTATATAAAGTTAGACAAAATTGTAATAAAATTATTTACTAATTATATTAATACATTTTTAATGTAATAAATTTGAAAATAGGTAAATATATATCTTGAATTAACATTTTCTACTTATTTATTTTTTTTTTTTATTTTAAAAGAATTTTAATTACATTTTTAATAAGATTGTTATAAAATTATAGTTATTTTGGATAAAAAAAAAAAAAAAAAAATAAAAGTACGAATATACTAAAAATTATAAGGAAGATATATAAAAACCATTTATAATTAACAAAATGAATTTATAATTAAAAATGCTTCTATCAATAGGTATATGTTACATAAATAAACAAAATTAATTACATAAAAAATTAAAATGATAAATCTTCAGTATTTAAACAAATTAAATAAAAAACAAAAATGCATAAATCTTTAAAAAAAAATTTTTTTGAATTTGCAATATATATTTATAAATCTTTCATATTTAGAAATTTTTTATATAAATTCTCTTAAACTTATTCTAGTAATATTTTAAATTGTATAATTATAAAAAGAAAAACAAATTTATATATTTATAAACAAAGTAAATTATAAATATTTTTTCTACTTAACATCAAAAAGGTAAAATATATGAATATAAAATATATAACTAAATTAATTCTTTATATGAAACTAATAATGTTGAAATTATTTTTTATTTTATTAAAATAGTTAGGATATTTACAATTTATTTTTATTCATATTAATATATTTTATTTATTAAATTTTTCATAAAATTTTTTTACATATTACTTATTCTACCTTATTTTTTATTATAAAATTCAAATATTAAATAATTCAAATATATAAGTACGTTATAAATAATACTTCTAATAGTTTTTACCTAAAAGCAAAAAATTTACTACTGTGATTTTATTGTAGAATTAACTTTTTTACACTTTTTTGTATACATGCAATTTTTAGAGAAATACATTTATCGAGATAAAAAAAAAATTTTTTTTTAGTAAATATATTTATATATTATATTATCTGGTATGTTTTCATTTATATACATTGTTATTCTTTTAGTAATTTTTTTCATTTACAATCATTTTATTAATTTTTTGTTTTTAGGTTTTCTATCTTTCTTTTAATATTTTATTCTATCTTTAATTTCATATATATGAAAGAGTTTCTTCTTATAAGACTCTTATAACTTGCATGAAATTTTTTCAGAAACATTTTTATATTCCTATACTTTCTCCATATATTTTAAAATATATTTTTTTTTTAATGTATAAATTATTTATAAAGTTATAATAATACTATACTTTTACATCTAAATATTACTTTAAATATAAAAAGAAAATGTAATTTTAGGAAAATTATTGATTTTTATCTAACATTAATTATTACTTTTTTTACAAATAAGGTATTAATAATATATATTGTTTCAATGTTATAAATTTCAAAATATACAATTTTTTGTAATTTTCTATAACATTTTTTTTTTTTTTTTTTTTTTTTTTTTAATAATTTGTTCTATCAGTAATTTTTGTATTAAAATAAATTCTTATTTTTATTCCCATCTACAATCCATAGTGTTTCGATCTTAATAGACATTAACTCTTTATAATTATGTTGCAACATTCAAAATTGTTCTTTTTAATTTTTTCATGAAAATGGATTAGTTAGACAAAAGTTAACATTAGTAGCATAAATGATTTTTTATTTTTTATTTTTTAAATTTAAGATATCATTGTGAAATAAAGTTTTAATATAGTCTTAATAGTATAAAGTAAATGTATTCTACTTCTTACTATTTTATTTTTTTTTTTTAATTATCAAGTTTATCCATAACATTAATAAAAATTAAAAAAAAACATAAAAAAAAAAAATAAACACACATTTTACATTTTAAGTTTAAAATGTTTACAATCTATTATTATTATATATTCTTCAAACATCTAAAAACGATATAAAATACATTTAAATACGCATATAACCTAAATTGTTCTTAAAGGAATATATTAATATGCATGATTAAGTTATTGCAAAAAAAAAAAAAAAAAAAAGGAAAAAGAATTATAAATTATAAATGGTGTATAAAAATAATTGTATATTGTTTCCTTAAAATACTTTCTTTTTATATAATGAAAACAAATAAGAAAAAATAAAAGATTATTTTTTAAATGTTTCTAATAAGAAAATTATTATATTTCAATATAATCAAATTTATAAATAATAAAAAATTTTATCTTAAAATGACACTTTTGTATTATTACTTTGTTTCAATTTATATTTATTTTTTGTAGTTGATAAACTTTTTTAAAATGAAGACTTTAGAAAAGAATAAATTTTATTATAAAACGTTTTTCAATTCTTATGAAGAAACATTTAAAAAAAAAAAAAAAGTGTAATTAACATATAGAATGTGCATATTTAAACTAAATTTTTTTTTTAATTTTTATAATTATTTAAAAAAAAAAAGTATAATAAGAAGTTTACGAATATTTAAAGATTAAACATTACTCATAAAAATAGTAAATGTCGTTTACTTATTATATTATTGTAAAATTATACTATCTCTTAGAATGAAAAAAGTGCAAAAAATTATTTATTGTGTTACTTTTTTAAGTAAAAGAAAAGGTGTAGAAAAAAAAAAAAAATAAATAAATATAAGGAGATAAAAAAAATAAAAAAGTAAAAAATAAAAGGAAAAAAAAAAGGAATAGGAAAAGGAAAAGTGTAGAGAAAATAAAAAAAAAAAAAAACTTTAAAATTAACAAATGAAAAAAAATAAAAAAAATTTATAATTATAAACATAATTTTTTAAATTCCTTTCTACTTTTAGATATATTATTATACTGTTTATAAACTTGTAACAATATGATATACACATTATATGTATTTATATTTACTTTTGATATATGTATTTTTTCTTTAAATATGTAAATTGAATATGTTAAAAGTTATTTTTTTTTTTATGTAATTTGTCGTTATTTTATTAATAAATATAATAAAAGGTCTTATAAAAAAAATTTATGAAGATGTTTAATGAGATTACTTATAAGAAATAAAAAGAAAAATGAAAAAAGTAAAGCATCATATATATTTTGTAAACTTTGTATATTTTATTGTAAAGCTCTTCATAAATATCTTTTGAATTTTTTTTGAAAGGTAATTATCATGTGAACGATAATATTATTAAAACATTATTTTTACAATTTTCTTTTTAAGTAAAGAAAAAAAAAAAAAAATTAATATAAGTAACAGTGGTGATATGTGAAATATAAAAAAACTAATTTTGATATCAAAGAAAACGTGGAAGATTATTTTAAGAAAATGTGTAATTAAAAATGACAAAAAAAAAAAAAAAAAAATATACATATATATATATATATACTATAACGTATAAATTAATATAGGCTATTTTTAAGTTTGTGTAAAAATATATACTGAATTTAATTTTTTTTTGTTCTCTTTTTTTTTTTTTTTTTTTTCAATTTTAATTTATATACATAAATATATAATTTTTTATGCTTTAATTGCATCCTTTTCATTTATTTTTATTTTTATTTTTTTTTTTTTTGATTTATATATATATATCTATGCATCTTTTTTATTTATTTATTTTATTCTATTTTTATTATATTTTTTATTAAATATATTTAACAATATAAATTTGTATTTTCATAAATGTATAATAAGTTCTATAGTTATGTTGATACTTTACAATTATTATTTAATAGTGTTATAAATTAAAAAAAAAAAAAAGAAATTGTTTGTAAATATGTTTTTTTTTTTTTTTTTTTTTTTTTTTTTTTAA